CCTGGCCCTGCACCCCCGTCCCCCAGTCGTTGCCCTGGCACCTTCCTAAGTCACCCATGCACACCCGGAACTGCTCCCGAAACTGTCCCTGGTGCACTCCTAATACTCCCCATGTACCCCAGGAACTTGACCTCGGGTATCTCTGTAACTGCCCCGGCTCTGCACCCCTAGTACTTCCCCCAGTACCCCAGTAACTGCCCTGGTACCTTCGTACCCTCCCTGCACCCCTGTAGCTGCCCCTGCACTGCACCCCTGGTACTGCCTTGATACCTCAGTAACTGCCCCCAGCACTCCTGATGTCCCCTATCTACCCCACTAGCTGCCCCCAGTACTTTCTGGTACCCTCATACCCACTGGTACCCTGGTAACTGCCTGAGGTCTGCACCCCCAGTACCTCCCCCGCTACCCTGTAACTGCCTCTCTACCCTTGGGCTGCCCCAGTACCCTCCCCATGTACCCTGGTGCCACAGTAACTGCACCCTCTGCCGCCCACCCAAGCCAACCCTGGTGAGTCCCACAGGTGGTGTCGAGCACTGAGGAGGTGGTGAAGCTGTACCGGGAGCTGAGCCAGCACCCGGAGCTCAGCAGCGCCTGCCTTGGCCCTGATGTCACCACCCAGTACGGGGGCAAGTACTGCAACCTCTACACCGGTATGGGGATGGGGATGAAGGGTAGCCAAGGGGGCCTCTGCCTGCCCGGTGGGGATATGGCAAGTGTCCTCACCCTGCTTCTCGCAGAGTGGTGGCAGCGGGACCTGGCACGGGCTGAGAGGGTCAAGTTCTGCCGCCAGTACCTCATCTTCCATGATGGGTCCTCCATCGTCTACTCGGGGCCTGCTGGCACCTGCTCTGAGATCAAGGACGAGTAAGTCCTGTCCCACCCCCGTGCTGGTGTCCCCTTGGGCTGCTGACGGTGGGAGGCTGACGGGCACCCACCCACCTGCAGGCTGCTGAGCCGGGAGTCCCCCAGCGGGACGCGGAAGGCCGTCCTGCGCAAGGTTCCTGGCAAGGAGAAGGAGAAGCAGTTCCTGGAGGTGAGGACGGGGCTGAGGGGGACTGGACCATCCCTGGGGCTCGGGGCCAGCTCCAAGCTGCATCTGGGGGCCACCCCACTGTCTGTGCCCTCAGGTCTGGGATCAGAACCGCAAGGTGAAGAGCATCGACCTGACAGCACTGGACAAGCATGGCAGCGTCTATGATGATGGTGAGGGGTTGGGGGTGCCAGGGATGGGGAGTCCTGGTGGGACAGGGTGTCCAGTGCCTGATCTGTCCCTGTAGACCAGTTTGGCTGCCTGGCCTGGTCACACTCGGAGACTCGCTTGCTCTACGTGGCGGAGAAGAAGCGTCCCAAGGCCAAGTCCTTCTTCCAGAGCAAAGCTCCTGAGCTGGACACCTCTGATGAGGAGGTGGGGCATCCAGAGAAGGAGGATGTGTCCCTCAAGGTGGGGTTCTTCAGCCCTGGGGCAGGCAGGGCCGGTAGGGCAGCCTTGGGGCTGATGGGGCTGTGCTGCAGGGTGAGCAGTTCGTGTACCATGAGAACTGGGGGGAGTCTCTGAGCACCCGCAGCGTGCCCGTCCTCTGCATCCTGGACGTTGAGGGCAGCAGCATCTCGGTGCTGGAGGGCATCCCAGAGCACCTCTCTCCCGGCCAGGTGAGGATGGGGATCCCCAGGGAACTGGAGCAGGGAAGGTTTAGGGGCCAGCAGCAGGCTAAGATGCTCATCCCTTCTATCCCCACAGGCTTTCTGGTCCCCTGGTGACACCGGCGTGGTGTTTGTGGGCTGGTGGCACGAGCCCTTACGCCTGGGGCTGCGGCACTGCACCAACCGTCGGTGGGTCCCAGGGGGGCACCCTGCCCCACAGCCAGGCCCCCCCTGGCCCCACCATGACTCCTGTCTGTGCCGGCAGGTCAGCGCTTTTCTACGTGGACCTGATGGGTGGGAAATGCAGTGAGTGGCAAGTGTCCTGACCCTCCCCTGCTAATGCCCCAGCTCCTTGCAGCCCCTCACCCTCCCCTTGTGCACTTGCAGAGCCACTCTCCGAGGACACCAAGGCCGTGTGGTCCCCACGGCTCAGCCCTGACCACTGCCGCATTGTCTACCTGGAGAACGACAGCCTGGGCCCCCACCAGCAGTGCAGCCGCCTCCGCATGGTGAGCAGCACTGGGAGGGGCACTTGGGGGACACCAAGGAGGTGGCAGGATGCCTGTGCAGGGCAGGGGCTGGCAGGAGGGCAGTGGTGCCCCCTCCCTGGGATGCAGGAGGGGCAAGTGGGCTGAGACCCTGCAAAAGTTATCCCATCTCATGTCTCCTGCAGTATGATTGGCACACCAAGCAGACCAGTACGGTGTTGGAAGCTGTGCCACGGCAGACATGGGGTGAGTAGGGCCCGTGGGGGGGTGTTGGGCACAGGAGGATGCTGAGCACCAGCACTCTCATTACAGGTGCCTTCCCGGGCATCTACTGCGACGCACTGCCAGGGCTGTGCTGGGCGGCCGACAGCCGCAGGCTGGTGCTGGACACAGCCCAGCGCAGCCAGCAGGTGAGGACTGCTGGGCCTGGGGAACTGGGGGAAGGCCAGGGCCAGGTCAGGGCTCTGCTGGACTCTGCCCTTATGACCCTAGGACCTGTTTGTGGTGGACACGGTGACAGGCGCCACGACCTTGCTGACGGCTGGTGAGTGCCAGGCTGGTAGGGCTGTGCTGAACTGGGGCTGAGAAGGGGGTGACACCTGCAGGTATGACTCCCCCCCAGCTCCATGCTCCCAGGGATGCTGGTCTGTCCTCACCATTGACCGGGACATCTTGGTGGCCAGTTTCTCCAGCCCTGCCTGCCCCCCAGCACTGGTAAGGTGACACCCCCTGTGCCCAGCACCCACCATCCCCTCTGGGTGCCAGCAGTGACCCTTCTTCCTGCACAGAAAGTGTCAGTCCTGCCTGGTGCTGGCCAGGAGGCACGGCCACAGTGGGTCTGCCTGCAGGATGCACCCTCCTTGCTCAGCATTAGCTGGGACGTCCTCACCCTGCAGCCCCCGCCCGAGCAGGAGCACCCCCAATTTGGTGAGTGACCATGGGGCCAGGCTCAGCTCTGCCACCACCACCAAGCTCTGACCCCCCCTTCTCAAGCCCCCCATCTCTACAGGGGGCTTGGACTTCGATGCTATCATGCTGGACCCCTGCAGTTCTTCCCAAAAGCCCCCCCCCTTGGTCGTCATGCCCCATGGTAAGAGCTTGCCCCTCAACCCACTGTGCCCCCTTCCCCGGCTGGGCAGAGTCACCCCCCTTTGCCTTTCGCAGGGGGTCCCCACAGTGTCTTCACAGCCGGATGGATGCTGTACCCAGCAGTGCTCTGCTCCATGGGCTTCGCTGTGCTGCTGGGTGAGTGGTGCTGGGGGGCCCAGGTGCTGTTGGGTGGCACAGCACCCATGGTGGGGCTGGGCAAGGGGCAGGAAGGGCTCTGATACCATTCTTCCCCAGTGAATTATCGTGGCTCACTGGGCTTTGGCCAGGACAGTGTGGCCTCCTTGCCAGGCAACGTGGGCACACAGGATGTGGGTGATGTACAGGTATGACACTGGCAGGTGGTCCTGACCCCGGGGCACCCCATGCTTCTGTGGGTGCCTCTGAGGAGGAAAGGCAAGGCCACCTGCCTCAGCAAGTGTCTCCCATGGTGGCAGCTCTGTGTGGAGCGGGTGCTAGACGAGGAGTGGTTGGATGCCAGCCGGGTGGCACTGGTGGGGGGCTCACACGGGGGCTTCTTAGCATGCCACCTCATCGGCCAGTTCCCTGACACCTACCGCGCCTGCGTGGTCCGCAACCCCGTGGTGAACATTGCCTCCATGGTGGCCACCACCGACATCCCTGACTGGTGAGTACTGCTGCCTCCAGGGCCCCTCTGCCTTGGCACCCTCATGTGTCACCGTCCCTCTTGCCTGCAGGTGCCTGACAGAGGCGGGGCTGCCCTACACACCTGACACCCTGCCGGACCCTGCCCAGTGGGCGGAGATGCTGCGCAAGTCGCCCATGCAGTATGTCAACCAGGTATGTCCCTGTCCCTGTCTCCATCCCCACTGGTGGTGCCAGCACTGAGGCTGTGCTGCTCCCACAGGTCCGTGCACCCGTGCTGCTGATGCTGGGAGAGGATGACCGGCGTGTGCCCCCCAAGCAGGGGCTGGAGTATTACCATGCCCTCAAGGCCCGGGGGATCCCCACACGGTGAGTAGGGTGCTGGGTGCTCCAGTGGAGGGTGCAGGCATGGCACTTAGCCACCTTTCCTTTTCCAGGCTGCTCTGGTACCCGGGGAACAACCACGCACTGTCCGGTGTTGAGGCCGAAGCTGATGGCTTCATGGGCTCCCCCAACCCCCCGGCGGCGCCCCCCCCCCCCCTGCCACTGCCACCCCCCAATAAACAGTGTAGCTCAGCACTCCTGGTGTCTCCCACTGTACTCCTGGTGCCTCCCACAGTGCTCCTGGCACCAACATCACTTCTACTCCCAGCACCCCAGGGATTCGGGGCCACTGGGTCCCCCTCCCACACAGGTCGGCATTTGTGCCGCTGGGGAGGTGGTGTGGGCGGCAAGCACGGCGGGTGGCATGGGAGGGACTGCAGGGCTGGCACCGACCCCTTGTACCGGCTGCTCATGTGCTTTGGCAGCCTGCCCGGGCTGAGCAGCCGGCGCTGGTGGCCCAGCACGGTGGAGCAAGGCCCCATGGCCTCAGCAACCGAGCAGGGCATGGAGGTGGGTGAGGGGGTCCCAGGGGACTGTGCAGGTGGGCACGGCCTTATTTTTGGGGGGTGGGTACAGGCAGAGAGGTGAGTTGACCCTCACCAGCCTGCCTCTCTCCCACTGCCCAGGCGGCTGCCAGCCCAGTTGCCTGCTACCGGGAGCTGAGCCGATTCCCTGTCGTCACCCGTGCTGCCCTGGGGGCCACCACGGGGGGACAGACCTTCGTACTATACAC